AACCAAAAATGGCATCAAGAGAAATATTGGGCAAATTCACCATGGATCTTGATTCCCTGAATATTAGCGAAAACGAGATGGGATCAGACAAATCTATGCATAATAATTCCATATTTACAAACAGCTCCATGGTTTCCTGTATTGATGAATATGTTGATAGACATCCCAATCCTGTTTCCATCACGCAACTTGATAGATCCAATATCAGTGAATGCAATAGACCCACATCGCAATCCAAGAAGGTAATTATTCGCCTGTCTAGTATCAGGACTAGGTTACAAGCAAAGAGTTTTTCAATAGAAGTTATTGAGACAATTCAGAATGCAACAAACAAGTCATCCAATAGCATGGTGGGGCTATCAATCAACAAGTGGCATATTTGGTGTGAGTCACAGAATGTGGATCCCGTTTGTTGCACTATAGATAATATTATAAGATTCTTAAATGAGATGTACAATCAGAAGAAATTGTATAACTCAATTGCAGCATATAGATCTGCTATAAGCGAAACACATATACAGATCGATGGCCATGATGTGGGAAGACATCCGATATTGCAAAACTTATGGTGGCAATTCGGAAACTGAATTCCCCCCTATCAACTTCAGATGATGTTATCGATATCATCCCAGCAATAGATTTTATTGCTAGTATGAATACCAATTCTGATATGTCTATTTTGGACTTATCCTGGAAATCAGCCTTTTTAATTGCACTGGGGTCAGCTTGTCACCCTAGTGACTTGCAATGTATTAAAGTTTCATCATTACAGAAATCAAAGACAGGGATCTCCTTCGAAATTCACAAACCAAAAGAGACAAACATATCAATTGCACACGGAGGTAACAAATGTAGAATTAAAAGAATCTTTATTGATTACTATGAAGATATTGAGTTATGTCCAGCATCAGCAACATTAAAATTATTAGAACGAACGCAAGAATGGAGAACCCCTCTAGCCCAACAAGAAACACTATTTTTGACTACAACTGTCCCCCACCGCCCAGCCACAGTGGACACTATCTCGCGTTGGTTAGAATATATATTATCGCAAGCAGACCCTAATGATAAAGCTAAGAATGTGAGACTAATCTCCGCCTTTTTGGCCCAGGATGCCGGTGCAGACATGTCCACTATTTTGACTTTAGGAAATTGGTCTAGCTATTCGGTTTATCAAAGATTTTATCAAAGAGGAATAAAACGCATGTTGGAATGAAATAAGGTGTCATCACTTATTTTAGATCAGGCACAATCATCACACGGAGTTTATTCTCCAAAATCTATGATATTCTATATCGGAGCAAGTGAAATATATTTCAACCAATGGTCGAACGTATGTGAAGATCATTGGGAAATGTATGAACAAGCGAAAATATAGAATATTACGCATTTTCCCTCCCATTATTTCTCCTCCCTAGCATATACTATTAGCATCTAGCAAAATAACAGCAGCCTAAACGGAGTAAACAGAATAAACAAACGCTTATATAGTAACGATTAGGTAATTTGTGTTACATGATGTATAATTGTCAATCTCTAAAATTGGTGGCTGCTATTAATAAAATGGCCGTACTACATGATATTCTATATCTTTGCTCGTTCATACATTTCCCAATGATTTTCACATACGTTCGACCATTGGTTGAAATACCGAGTATAACATTCCCGGCAGTAGTAGGGTGGATTTTTGGAATAGTATTGCAAATACAATTAAAGCACGATTTAGAACCAGCTATACCGTAAGTGTTTATTTCATGCTCATACATCAAGGAAATACATTTTCTGATAGTGTATATGATGAGATTTTACTAGCTGATATGTCAGTTACATAGCTGGGAGTAGAGCAGGCAAGAGAAGCAGAACTGGTGAGCGATTATTTTGAAGTTCTCATTTTTGGGAAAAACCTGGTAAGTGGATTACAATCGCTAATAGCGAATATACTCAATGTTAATATGGAAAATGGATTCTAAATAAATTTGTTTGAACGTGAAAAATGTAGAAACACCATTCGACATATTGCATGATGAAAAATCTTCCGTAAGAAGGCGTTACCGTAATCGTACATCACCAACTTATAGAGGAGTGACACCGATCGTGGATCCAGCACCAATCAAAGGAATCGTTCGGCTTCTAACCGTAGAAATTCTAGAAATGGGGGAGGTGATAATAATCAAGATAATGTAAATAATATCGTGGACCTACCCAGGCTATAACTAATAAAAGCGGAGAATCGACTTGGTTCAAGTGAAAGTTCAGATCCAACACAGATTATCCGGATCACAAAGTGGCAGTGATGTTAATATGCGTTATGCGGGGGTTTGGATTTCGTTTGAAAAAGTAATAATGATCGCCTGCCGAGATCATTGAGATAAAAGCGGATGAAAGACTGAAACAGATCCTTAGATCAAGTTAATTAAACATTGCATTTTTTTCATAATCCGTAGTGCACAAATTAATTTTGAAAATGTCATATATTATGTGAAATGCTCGTGTAACTAGTCTCTTGTATTGCATGACTGAATTACTTTACGTTACAAAAAATTATTAACAATGCTAGTGAGGCTAATTTCTTGGAGATGTGACTGTTGAGCTATTTTCTAATAATCGAGCTGATCTAGATAAAGGAGCATTATATAGTAAACTCATGTTTACAATCAAAATATTTCGTAATACTAATAAAAGTTCAACAAATTTTGCCACGGTGGCAGAATCTGACCGCTGTATGGGCACCTTGGCTTCAAGAAGATGATAGTATCTGTGAATATCTGCCTTATCTCTTATTAAGACATTTAACCGCATTGTTTGTCCAGCAACCTGAACCCCCACAATACCAAATTCATCTTTGTCGGGCTTACACCTCTTACGTACATAATACATCCCATCGTTGACCTCTCTCCAAAGCTTTATTTCATCATCTTGTTCTTTTTGTTTCGTGCAAACTAGGCGTGAACATTCAACGTATAAAAGCTCGTAATTTATCTCTTCGTGTTTCACGACAAACATAACATCTGGTCTTCGGCCACTTCGTCCATCCCCCCTCCGATCAGCACTGGCATCACTTTGTTTTTCGAAACTGCTGATAAATGTAGATTTGCCGAAAGGAAGATCTTGCAATGTTGCTCGGATGACAGGTAGAATCAAGTTCGAAACGTAAGCACCTTCACTCAATGAATTAGCAAACTCAGACCCAAATGCTTGATTATTCCAAATGTCATTTCTATAACAAAGATTCATAATTAACTATCCCGCCTTTTCACATATGTTATTAATTATGAATGAAATAAATAACTCTTTATATATACTTACAAAGTATTCAAAATCCTTTCTGCAACAATCGCAAGTCTATCGTCAGATTCTTTCCAAGTTCTGTCATGTGATAATTTTTGTGACGAATCTGTTGTATAATTTTTGGCAAACGTTGAAACGAATTTATCACAATTTTTTTGAATGAGTGGTGAAAAAGATGACGTCATCCAATATGCTGGTTTCATAAAAGAATGATACAAATGTTTCGGGAGTTGTTTAATTATATAGGAATCGTCACTGATAACTTGACTTGCTAAAGGCTTCTTCCAAGACAACTCTTCAGTAGATATATTATGTACACCAGAAAACAAATGTTGATAAAGTGGCGTCGTGATTTTCTTGAGTCTTCCTTTCAATACTTTGATATTGTTGGTAATTTGATTCAAATTGAGAGGTGTTTCTTTATTGATTTTAACCGCGCCGAGATCACGTAAATCACATATAGTTTTATAGGAAATGTCGTACTAATGCAGGTATAAAAAAAAAATTATTATTATATAAATTCATTCTTTTCTATCTCGTCAGATAGAATAAGATCAATGCATGCGCCGTCAGAATATAGACAAAGCTCTATCTTTGTGTGGCCACCACGCAGATATTAAATAACCACATATACAGCTTAAATACTCCTCACGCAGTCGAGAAAGCTATCCTGTAGGCGGACTAACTCACGCAGTCGAGGAAACTATCCTGTAGGCGGACTAACTCACGCAGTCGAGGAAGCTATTCTGTAGGCGGACTATGAAGTACTCAAACTGTTTTCTCAGTGATTACTACCTGCATTACTCTTCATTTGGGACATCGACAAAAACCATATTATTCATTTAAAAAGTTATCATTTTACCTCCGAAAAAATTTCGAGAAGAGCAATATACCGAGGAGAACCTTCTTCACAAAGGTTTTTTGTTAATGTTACTGCTTGATAGACGATACTCTTTAACTCATTCTGTGGTATCCAAGGGTCTTCTTCTATTACTTGGTAAATAACAGAACCGGCGGTAATATGCTCTTCGGTGGTGTTAATTAAAAAGTTAAAGAGTTTAGTATAAATGTTCGTGGCGGTCATATTTATAGGAAAAAATAAAGCAAAAAAGGTAGTTAGTACCGACATTTTTATATCGTGCTTCACCGCCTTGCAAAGAAAGGCAAGGAAAAAAGATGGCTAGAAACCATATCGAGGGTAGGAAGGCGTGAAAAAAACATTGTTTATATCGTGCTTCGTTGTCTTACAAGGAAAGGGAAATGCGAGGTGAAAAAAAAGCCCGAACGAACAGAGACTATATCGGGTGTGGGAAAACGGTTTATATATCTATTTTGGAATATAACGTCATAAAAATTCATGGAACATAAATCTGCTTTTATGATAAGAACAAATGACAACAAGGCAATAAAGACAAATAGCCCATTGATTCCTGTCAGTTCCGTTATCAGAAAGTATGAGTCGAGATCTCTGCAATTCCCAGATCATCGTTGCGATCGTCGAGCTAAAGGGTGCCATAAGCGTTTATGAAGAAATACTTACATATAATTAGGGTTGGAAGATCGAATAATTGTTTGAATTGCTCCAGATAGCCTTAGGATGAATATCTCATTGGGCGCAGTGATTGACAAATACTTTGGCCATTATAGATTAGTCACATTTGAATAGTAATAGATATTTTATGCTGAAGATTCTTATGCTATTTAATTAATATTTGGGTAAATGTTGGAACCCTTTCTGTGAGCAGTTTTGCATTAAGGCAAGGTCAAATTGTTCACTTTAAAAGAATGCATCCGGAAAAATTAATTAAATAGCGGAGCTAGTGTCAGTGATACATAGATTTTTTTTAATTTGTATTTACATCATATTTTTGTATCTACCTTATAACGGGCATTTCGAAATAATAAAGCAAGCAAGTCAAATGCGTATGCATGATTTTGGTAACTTCGAATCAAATCAATTTTTGTGTCTTATCTCCTGATGGTTTGTGTAACTTCTAATATATCTAGCTTTTATTACCGAGATACAGTACTATAAATTAGATTTTGTAAATTTCTACGTATAAAAGTAACATGTCCTCACACGATTCTTCACCTTCATCACTAGTTTCCATATCCTCTATTTGACAGAAAAAAGTTCAACTCGAACTATGGCGGACGTAGTTAGAAAGTTTAAGACGGAAGACTTGAGCCTTGATGATGATTTCGCAAACAAAAAATTGCTGGGCTTTTATTTCTTGAGATGACTAAGATTTCCGTGAATGTGGGTTTGAAGTAGGACCAGCTATAACACTTGCGAAATTCGTTTGAGCTATCAGAACAAAAGATACGAAGCTTCGCATCCTACAAAACTCTGGATGAACTAAAAGATGTTTTCCACAAGTATAAGGTCGATGGAGAGGATATTAAGAGCATCAAACAATTCAATCCAAGTATGTGATCCTTAATTTTATTTTTCTTGCATTTTTCCGGACCGCACGGTCTTGCAAATTTCTTGATATTTTTCGAAATTTTTTTTTGCAGAGATCGAACATAGCTTATATACTAAAATTTCTTTTTGTTTTATAGTTTTTGAGGAAATCGATAATAATGATGAAGCATTCAAGCATTGTGTTGCGAATATCATATTAATCCTGACAAATATTGAGACGATGACGGATGCTAACGAGGCTACCCACTGTGAATTTATATCATCCATCCTACACGCATCACTTGCCATAGTTCGAAGACTTACCAAAGAAGAAAAACTATATATCAATGTAAAAAGATGTCTCTGATGAAGAAGCGTCCGGGCGTGTCAACTACGCTATCATGGGGAAAGAAGATCTCACGCGTATCGCTGAAGGCAAACCACGTAATAACAAGATTTGTTGTCTCCAAAATATCATGCAACTCGAAAGCGCATATCATATAAATAAGAAAAAAAGGACGGTTGAACAAGCTTTTGGGAATGACGACTACGACTACCTCTACGGGAATTGTATCCACGGGTATGTATTGGAATTTTCTTGTTTTTACCACTGATGGGCTTAATTGCACTAGTGAAAGCGAATATCAGATTAATATTTCGAAAACAGCAATCAAAGAAAATCCTAATATACTTGGGAATAGCATAAAGCGAATAATGGAAATTATCGTTGGTCTTTTGTAAAGATCGGGCAACAGTTGATGACTCTCCTGCTAGTAAGAGAATCAAAATCAAAAAAAAAAAATTTTTTTTTTTTCAAAAAATAGTGGATGGATGTGATGGATGGATGGATATCCAAATTTACATGCATTTTGTATTGTATCAATAAAGAACTAGATCCAAATGGTCGTTCTTTTTTCTGATATTAATTTTGTACGTGATAATAGGGTTTTTTCATTTTGGATCATCACTCCGAGATGTGCAATTGACTTATGGATTTCGGTGTATATACTAATTCAGTTTATTTGATACAGACCAATGCATTATAAAACAGGTGGGATATGTGTAAAATTTGTTCCTAGTCACTATGTGACTGACTTCGGTAATTATATAATCGTTAACGTGGCTTTTTCTAATATCAAATCTCTTGCTTGTAATATCTTAAAAATCACAGGAGAAAGTATCGTTCAGGATGTAGAAATTCCAGATATCCTGAAATGTTCAACCTGTACCAATGATATTCTAGAAATTGCTTATAAGGCGTTCACTATGTTCGAGTCTTTCACAGAGTTTGTATCGAGAAAAAAATTAAGTATACGGTACCAAGTATATGTCATTTTCCAGATTGTGATAAAAGCGTTGATGTTGTTGATAAGGGATCGATATGAGACTCAAATAAGTGGTACATCGACCGTAGTTGATGAATTAAACCGTAATCTCAGAGTTAATTTACCACGGACTTCCTCCTAGGATCAAGACATGGATCTGGATAGAAATGAAAAAACAAGGCATCGAGTCTCACGAAGTGATGTTATTGCATCTGAAAATCCACCCACCCTACCGCAAAAGCGTGTTGGTGAATCTAGCAACATTTTTCCTTTTTCCTCGTGTGATTTAATCATGAGGAGGTAGGATTCTGAACACTAAAAAGCAATATGTTAAATAGATGCTCCGCCTCGCTTCGAATTCTCGGGTGCTTTGCGCCCTCACAATAATGGATTTCGGAGACTCAAAATAGACAAGAAAGTTAAAATCTAAATATATTTCAAACAAAAATGTATCATAAAAAGCAATATATCCATTATCAAAATTAAATTTTTGGAATCTCCAGCTAGACAAGAAAGCAATATACAGTAGATTTCTAGATATATTTCAAGACAAAAAAAAAGATCAAATAGCTATACAATAATTAAAAAAAGGTTGCTATAGCAAAAGACAAGCTGGAGCTGGTTAGTTTCTTTTTGAGAAAAATCACCTTTTTCTTAAGAATTCAAATTAAAAAGGTTCTTGTAAGTAAATTTAATATAAAAAAAAAAAGATTATTATGGGTTAAAAAAAAGAAAAAATTAAAAATAAATGAAATAATATTATTTGAAGTAATAAATTTAAATTTGAATTATTTAAAGAAAATGGTAGAAGATAAATATGAAAAAAAACTATAATATAGATTGTCTTATTTTCATAATAAAACATAATCAAGAAATAATAGTTTAGTTTGAAAATATTTTACTAAAAATAATCTTAATTTTCTAATTGGATTATAAGAAAATATAATATTGTAATTATAAATATATAGTTGTATTCAAAAGTTTAATTTCACTTATTATGTTTTTATCATAAATTTTAACTTTGTTAATTTTTAAA